TTTCACTCCGCCCCGAAGCCCCGGCTGGCCCTCTTTGGTCCAAAGTATTCGGCGGGCCGAAAAAGGCCGGCCGCTGGCCCCAAGAAAGCCCCGCTTTGGCCCGATTAGGCCAGTGACAGTGGAAACGCCACTGGCCTTGGCTCGCCCTGGCTCGCTCGCTTTAGGCGCGATAGTGATAGTGGAAACGCGGCTAATGTTTCCTCCACAGTTTGTGTCTGTGGTCCTTTAAGATAATCAAAAATCATTGTTTACGTGGTAGACTCTTGATCAGAGTATTGTCTTAATCATATTAATATCAGAGTATTGGTGTACATGTAAACATACTCACTGAAAGTGCCAGATGATGTCACAAGCTGTCAGAGACAGTCCATTCCTCACCTTTAGGGTAATTCCATGAACCCACACATTTCATAAGTTTGACATGTTTCCCCCCTAACTTTTGTAAAGCATCTGCTGCATGTTGGTGTGTCAGAATCCTTGCTTGTAAAAAATGGGCATACTGTAGAATGCTTAGTTTAAGCAAATTAGATGAACGTGATCGTGCGTGTTGATGAAGGAAGTCGTTTGCCGCATGCACCGTTTTGCGTGCTTTGCCTTCTATAAGCTACAATAACAAACGCCTGACATCGCTGACATCCGTATCCCTCAATGCTGTTTAGAATGACACATTTAGAGATAGTGTGACACAACGCGTGCTTAAGTGTGCCTTTGATGCACCCCTTGATACTTCTTAAGTGCGTCACACAGCAGATGAGCCGCTCAGAGCCGCACATGATAGTTGACAGTATCACACAGCAGACGTGCACATTCACATGTTATTGAAAATGAAACTATTCAGATGGTGATGTGTGGCACGGCAGGAATATGAACAGTCATGAGTCGTGGCTGTGTGCCATGGACAGCTGCTGACCTGCGAATTCTTGCGCGTCGCCAAGCGGCGCTTCTAGTGTGCGACCTGCTTTAAGTTTTTGTAGCAGCACCAGTGGAACCTGAATTAGGCACCGAAATTCATTTGCTGATTCGGTCTGGTGCATACCGGTTACAGTAACAGGCCAGACGCCAGGATGTCATAACTGAGGGAGCATTTTAATCCCATAGGGGGGGGTGTACTAGACCTGGGGCCTCATGTACGAAGACTTGCGTGGAAATCATACTAAAACATTGCGTACGCACAAAGCTGTAAATGTGCGTACGCAGAAAAAAATACGCCGAATGCCACGCATATTCTTTTGTACATCTGAATGAACGTGAAACTGAGCGCACGTGCACGAGTGCAAAACCCCTCCCTGACTCCTCCCCCATATGAATATGCTTATGACTCTTCTTTGGCAAAACCCAACGAAAAAGCAACGGCAAAATCAAGCAAGAAGAGAAACTGAATTGAAGGTGCTGCTTTCGGAGGTAGACCGGAGGAAAACTTTTATTTGCAAGTTTGTTCTCCGGAATTAACAACAAAAGAAAAAAATAGAGTGGGGAGAGTTTAGCTGATGCGGTTAACATAGTTGGGTCTGAACATCGCACTGAGTGCATTAGAAAAGAAATGGTGAGATCTATAGGTGTAAAATTTTGTAGCATCTTTAAAATCCTAAGTGGCGCAGCTCGTTAAACCCATGGCAACATGTTTTGACACGTTCAAGCATGAACTCGGTTCGAATCCAGCGGCTGATGAACTTACTCTTTATTTCCCCCACTACATATCAGATTTTGCCTATATACTATTTATCACGAGAAAGACAAGTAGGAATCATTAATAAGTCTGTGCATCATATTTTATTTGCACATTTATTGAATGGAAATGTTTCTGATTCACGCATGCAAATTCATCTTCAGATAGTGTCTTTATAGCAATGCGCGTACAGTAGATCGCTCAGATTACATTGGAAAAACCGGCGACCGCTGCAAATTGTGCTTCAATGTTTGGATGATCAACTGTATGGTACGGAAACCTTATATACTAGACATGCGGATGAACCCGTCTCATACAGCTGAGAAGACACGTTGTAGTGTGCAATTTAACACAACTGCCTCTAGGAGTCGCCAATGGAAATAAAACAGACACGCACAAAAAATGTGCGTACGCCAGCCATGAAGCTGGCATGGAGCTGCGCACATTCCCACGTTCAGTTCATCGTTAGTAAATCCAAACGTGAGCGATTCTGAGTGTGAAACCTGGCGTACGCAAAGTTTTTGTGCGTACGCAGCGTTGATATATGAGGCCCCAGCTGATTCAGTTGTTACCTATAGTGACATTCAAAAGAGCACCGCGCTCCTTTTTTTCTTGTCAACATAAAGTGCATTGCGGTGCGCCTCACGTCTCTGGAATGAAAAAGTGCGTTCGTTGTGATTTTGCAAATGCGCATAAACAAAACAGTTGATGGAAACGCCATGATGAACGCCAAAAACTTAAGCGCCCAACTGGGTAGGATAAACTAGGGTAGGAAAAAATGCGCATAAACTGCGATGGAAAAACTTTTACCTTATATACCTGCTAGACATTGTAGAGAGCAATTTAACACAACTGCCTCTAGGAGTCGCCAATGGAAATAAAACAGACGCACACAAGAAATGTGCGTACGCCAGACTAGGGATGCTCAAAATAATCGATTAACCGTTAACCGAAAGGGTGCGTTTGTGACCGATTAATGCTATCAGTTAAACGATTAAAATTATTATTTTATATATTTTTAGTTTGACTGCATAAGGGGCCGATTGAATGCGCCTTTGCGTTAAGAGGGGGATCTTTTGCACGCGGCTCATCCCAGAGCAGCAGTTTGTGTTGTCAAGACGACTACAGAGAACTTTTAAAGAGCTTGGTTTCCGCTACATTCATTCTTCCATGGCGGGGAACAAAATGCATCCAGCCACGGCTACATTACCCATTCAAAACATTCAGTTATTGTTGTTGTTGTTGTTTTTAATAGCGGATTATAATCGCATCAAAACGTATTAAAAGCTAAGTGGATTATAACAGCGCAAACTTTTCTGTAACCGTATAGTGCTGTGCGCTTTTGTTTAATCCTTTGGCGTTACGTGCTGACGGACTGACTGACTGACAGGTGCGCGATGCGTGAGGCCAGCAAACACGCAGAAGCTTTCAGTTAGGATGAACACAGTTTCTATAGTTATACTTTATTTACAGATAAAGTATGACTCTGCATATAATCACTCTATCTTGCTGGAGTTTATAGCCGTTTCGCTTTACTTGAGGACGCATCAACACCGCTCTGAAGGTCTAATCGCTGTTTTAAGTTATCCAGAGCTGTATGAATGTACAAATCTTGAATATCACAATATTATTAAATATTACAATTACAACAACACAGACAGCAACACTTCTGCACAATCGATACCCAGCTGATTCAGTCGTTTCATAAGAGGACCGCGCTTCTTCTCTTCTTTTTTCCTTGTCAGCATAAAGGCAGTGAGGTGCGCCTCGCGTTTTTGGAATGAAAAAAGCACGTTAGCTGTGGTCGGCCACTTGTTTTACTGCAAGACATACTGAACTTGCGGGACGATAACGTATAACCCGTGCCTACAGACACATTTGCCAAAGAAGCAAAATGGAAGAAGAATATTGCTGTTTAACAGACGTGTTGATGCCAAACCAGCGCTGATGTTGACCTGGATCTGAGTCATAAACGCAACAAATAGGCTTTACCTTTTATTTTACAGCTTATAAAGCATGTATGCACATTAATGCAATAGCATATTTAAACAGCACAACTGTTTACAAAAAGTCTACATATGCGCGCGTTGTTGTTGTCTTTTCATCACGCAGCGCGTGAGAGAGAGACATATTCTTTAAAATAATGATTTCTATTAAAAATGTAAAAGGTTTTGTGATTATAATAATAACAGCGGAGCATTAAATAAAGGCATATTTTCCGTGGAGCGAGCAATTTGAAGAAGTCTGCTATTTTATTTGACGGAAGAAAAAAATATGATTGGGAAAAATCAGCCTATGCCGGTTATTAAAAATAATCAGTCAGTGTTTTCGATTTGTAATATAAATGAATTAGTTAAGTGGAAAATAATTTAGGGCAGTCCTATTTATTTTATTCATTTTATTTAGTTTATTCTGCTCTTCTGTGCTAAATACTGCAGGTGCGTGAAGATGCTCTGTTGTTATGGTTAATTCAATTCAATTCAGCTTTATTTGTATAGCGCTTTTACAATGTAGATTGTGTCAAAGCAGCTTCACATAAATGGTCATAGTAACTGGAACAGTGTGGTTCAGGTTTTAGTGTTTAAGTTCAGTTCAGTTCAGTTTAGCTCAGTTCAGTGTGATTTAATCATTACTGAGAGTTCAAACACTGAAGAGCAAATTCATCGATGCGTAGCTCTACCAATCCTGAACCATGCGAGGCAGTGGCGACAGCGGAGAGGGAAAAAAACTTCACCTGATGGGAGTGAAGAAAAAAAACCTTGAGAGAACCAGACTCAGTTGGGCACGACCATTTTAATTTCTCCGCTGGCCAAAAGTCTTGTGCAGAACTTCATTCGCCGTGGTTTTATGTTCTATTATTAATATGCTAACATATAAAAATAAATCAGTATTTTATGCAATATTTAATGTGTCGGACACAAAATAGACACGTCAATTTGTTTAATATAAAATTAATAGTAATCTGACCAGTTAACCGTTAATAACCGATTAATGAGCGGCGGTTGTCGGTTAGCAAAATTACCCGAAATGAGCATCCCTACGCCAGACATGAAGTTGGCGTGGACCTGCGCACATTCTTACGTTCATTTCATCGTTAGTAAATCCAAGCGTGAGCGTGAAATCTGACGTACACTAAGTTTTACACACTGTCCCTCTTAATCCCAACAGGGGAAACCAGCAGCAGTCAAGAATGCTTGATGATCTGCTGTCATGAATTACAATCAATACATGTGATTATAATGGAGGTCAATGTGGCAAAAACAGCACCAACATCACTGAAGGGGAGTCAAACTGATCAACACACGGGGGTAAATGCTGCTTGTTTGTTTTTCAGCTCTGCATCCTCCGCTCAGAGAGAAGCGGAGCTGATGTTTGATGCTGGAAACTCCAATGTGGTGCGTGTGTTGGGTGTGTATGAGGGCCGTTTGGGTGACCCGCAGCGGCCGCTTCAGTGTGGGCTGGTGCTGGAGTTCCTGGCGAGGGGTTCTCTGGAGGATCTGCTGCAGAGATTGGCTGCTCCTCCGCCGTGTGCTCTCGCCCTCCGCATGGCGCTGCAGGTCAGCCTGGGCATGAACTTCCTCCATCAGCTGACTCCGCCCATCCTGCACCTCGACCTTAAACCTAGCAACGTTCTGCTGAGTGACAGCCTGGATGCCAAGGTGATTTCTAAAAACGACGTTTTGTTTTGATGCTGCATTGAAATAACAACTGAAAAGATTCAACAACATGTGCAGTATATTTGAAAACTATTTTAAACGTGCTGTGAATTTCCATTTAGTTTTAGTTTATTTTATAATAATTTTTTTTTTCGTTTTTGTAGCTGACGCTAATTGGTCAGCTTGTATTTTGTTAATGTTTATTATTGTTTTTATATTTCATTATTTGAAAGTGTATTAGTTTATGTTTAATTTAGAAATTTCTGTGTTTCCGGCTGTCTTGAGTCAGAGGTCACATGATCCTCCTTGACGGATTTAACCGGCGAGAGTTTGTGTGGACAGCATAGTGAGATCTCAATGCAGGAAACCTACTACTCAGTAGGTACTGCAATTGAATTTAAACGTACTACTCGGCCATTAGAAAAGTACGTTCTACACAGTATGAATGTGAAAAGTATGAATGGAATTCGGACATACTACATCCGCCAGAAGTGCGCATCCCATGCATGCTGCGCTATCCCATAATGCCCCGCGAGAGAATTCATGAGTGGAAGTGAAGCGGCGCAACTGACACAGGTAGGTCACGTGACCATGACAAAATGGCGGATGTAGTACGTCCGAATTCCATTCATACTTTTCACATTCATACTGTACAGAACGCACTTTTCTAACGGCCGAGTAGTGCGTTTAATTTGAATTTTAATTTAATTCAAATGCAGTACCTACTGAGTAGTAGGCGCTTTCGGACGCAGCCTATGAATTCAGACATACTACTCGGCTCGAATACTGATTTTAGCGATTGCTGAATTCACATATGCAACAAACTGAGGTAACTGGGCAAATGAGACAGGTTCCGAAACAAAAGTCTCGGGCTGCGTCTGAAATTGCATACTTCTATACTATATAGTACGCAATCAGATCTGCGAGAGTTTGTATGGACAGCATAGTGAGATCTCAATGCAGGAAACCTGTTAGGGTGCTTTCACACGTTGGCTGTGTCCTAAACCATCTACAACTCAGTACTGCATTTGAATTTAAACGTACTACTCGCCCGTTAGAAAAGTACGTTCTATACAGTATGAATGTGAAACGTATGAATGGAATTCGGACGTACTACATCCGCCATTTTGTCATGGTCACATGACCTATCTGCGTCAGTTGCGTCACTTTACTTCCATTCATGAATTTTCTCGCGGGGCATCATGGGATAGCGCAGCGTGCATGTGATGCGCACTCCGGAATCTCGCCGGAAGTAGTAAGTCATCCGGGTACTTCTCGCATACTGATTTTCGAATTCGGACATACTACTCGGCTCGAGTACTGATTTTAGCGTATTAATAGTATGGAAGTATGCGGTTTCGGACGCAGCCCTAGCCCTGTCTCGTTTGCTCAGTTACCGCAGTTCGTTGCATATGTGAATTCAGCAATCGCAATCAAATCCGCGCCAAAACAATCGGTCCAAGATTGCCTGAATGAGGTGGTCTCGGCTCGATTGAAATGAACTCTGGAGCGGATCGATAGTAGTGAGAAAGCGATACGATCTGAGCCCGGCTATATCACAGTGGTTTATGGATATGTCATAGGCATACAGCTATATGAAGAGAGAATAATGAGTAGGGCGGGAGTCATTCCAGACATCCCAAGTCTCTCGGAAGTTCCGAGAGTCTCCATGCATTAAAAACTCCCAGATGCTGTAAACTAGTCATAATCTCCTTGAAATCGCGCGTCTCCCTCCCTTTTTCAGAACAAATGAATAGATTCACAGGTGTGAAAGCACACTTAAATGCTCCTGAATATTCTTCTGCTGGTTATCAGGCCAACGAGGTAAAAGAAACATTGTTTGTATATTATTCGCTTGTTTTTTGATGTCCTTTTGATTGTGTTTGTGTGAAACATTTGCTTTGTTTGTTTATCTTATTAGTTTTCACGGTGTTCGATAAAGAAAACGCATGGACATCAGTATTTGGGAAGCGTGGACTGTTTAATAATCAGCGGTAGCGAAGGTTTTAGTCAAATTTGTATCTTTTGCTTTTTATGTCAACACTATTTTTAATCTGCTGTAGATTTCAGTTTAGTTTTAGTCAATTTTATGGTTTGCATTTTCTTTGCATTTTATTTAGAAACAATTTTTTAATTTGCTGTAGTTTTTTATTTGGTTTTGGTTCATTTTTTTTTGCATTTTTATTTCATTGCTATTTTTAAATATACTGTAAATTAAAGTTTAGTTTTAGTTTGTTTTATTAAAGTTAAATATGTTATTTTGCATTTTTATTTCGATACTATTTTAAAATTTGCTTTATTTATTAAATTCAATTGTTAGTTTTAGTTACATTTCATTTTTTGCATTTTTATTTTGATGTTATTTTTTTATTTGATTAACATTTCAGTTTAGTTTAATTTACTTTACACTTTTTCAATTTTATTTCGATGCTGTTTTTAAATTTGTCGAGTGACAGTCTGGGGGTCAAGGTGAGGCCACGCCCACTTTTCCTCATCACTGCAAGATTCTTGTAGATTCTTGTAGCATTTTTAAAACTGCGTTTCGTTTCAATATTGTTTTCAAATATTCTGTACATGTTGCTGCATTCCTTTACATTTTTATATTAATACTATTTTAAAATTTCCATTTATTTTTACGTCATTTTATTATAGTTTTTGTTAGTTTTAGTTAACTTTGTATCTTTTGCTTAATATTTATTTGTTTAATAATTTTTATGTTTTTTTACATTTTATTTTTAAAGCTTTTTTTAAAGGTTTATTTAAAAAATAATATTTTTTTGACCATTTTTAATATAGCCTTTTTTGCATTTTATTTTGATAGCATTTGTAATTTTACTGTAGATTTGTGTTTATTTTTAGTTAATTTTTATCCTTTGCATTTTGATTTAGAAACTACTTTTTAAATTGACTGTAAATTTTAATTTAGTTTTAGTTTTTTTTATTTTTGCATTTTTATTTTTCTGCTATTTTTACATTTGCTGTAAATTTCAGTTTAGTTTTACTTAGTTTCATTAATGTTTTAGTTACATATTTATATTTTGCATTTACTTGCATTTTATTTTCGATAGTATTTTTAAATTTACTGTAACTTTCACTTTAGTTTTAGTTAGTTTCATTAAAGTTTATATCAAATTTTAATTCATCTTAAGTTCATTCACTTCTTCAAGAACTCTATTTTTTAATAAGCACCTCAAGTTTATTCCTTTCAGGCCTATTTCATATGGAGAAAACTGTTTAGAAATGGAGAAAACTGTTTCATATGGAGAAGCACAAAACTGTTTTCTTGACATTTAATGTTAAATGAGCCATCCTGAAATATGTTGTAAAGCCTGAGCTTGTAGCTCACCTGCTAGGCAAGGTGTTTTAGCAGACTCATAGATGACTGTGTCATCTGCATATAACTGGCTGTTAACCCCTAATCTGGAAGATCATTTAAGTACATTGGAAACAACAATGGGCCAAGAACAGACCCTTGAGGTACTCCCATATCATTAGAATGCACAGACAACTTCTGTGGAAATGGTCACAGATTTTCAAAGCAGAATATCTGACTGCAGCATTGTTTCGCAGATAAACAAATGTGTTCACTTAACATGTTTATCATATTTCTGCAAACATATTATGGTAATTTTATGATTTAGAAGAGTCAAAAACAGACATACAGCACCTTTAATGTCATGATCATATGCTGTCATGGCTGCAGTCAATAAATGTAATTATAATGGAGGTCAATGGGGCAAAAACAGACACCAACATCATGGGGAGTCAATCTGAACAGAGTGTGTTGTGGAGTTGTTGAACATTTTCCCCAAATATGTGTCAAAATAAGGTTTGCCAGCAAAAATCATCACAACAGAGAAAGATGAGGCCAAATTAAGCCTCCAAATCAGCCCAGAGGGGATGAAAACAACCCAGCAGCACACAAGGGTTACAAAGTCTCACACTCGCTTTCTTCCTCTCTTCATCCCTCCGTTACTGTGTCTCCGTCCTGCAGATCACAGATTTTGGTTTGTCCCGAGTGGCTGAAAATGTCTGTAAGTATACCGGGGTGAATGACGAGGATGAGGGAGGAACGCTGAGCTACATGCCGCCCGAAGCGCTCCAGTCCAGCAGTTACAAACCCAGCAAAGCCTTCGACGTGTACAGGTACAGAATACACAGATATGCCTTTAAAATGCTGCCTTGAAGGTGATTCTAATGCAGATCATCCCTTCATTCATTTTCCTTCGGCTTAGTCCTTGATTTATTAGGGGTCGCAACTGCGGAATGAACCACCAACTATTCCAGCATATGTTTTACACTGTGGATGTCCTTCCAGCTGCAACCCAGTACTGGGAAACACCCATACACACTCATTCTCTCACACACACACACACACACACACACACACACACACACACACTCGTACACTGCGGCCAATTTAGTTGATCAATTCCCCTATAGCGCATGTGTTTGGACTGTGGGGGAAACCGGAGCAACCAGAGGAAACCCACACCAACATGGGGAGAACATGCAAACTCCACACAGAAATGCCAAGTGGCCCACCTGGGAGTCAAACCAACAACCTTCTTGCTGTGAGGCAACGGTGCTAACCACTGTACCACCCCAATGCAAATCAAGAGTGCATTAATTTAGCAAAAAACACTGTCAAATAATCAAGCATTGTTGTCTATATATTGCTTTATATTTGTGTGGAAAGCTTAAAAGATCAGCGGTTATTTATTAATTATTATAATAAATGATAAATTATAATTTTCTAATACAATAAATGTATTAATAATAATAATTTCAGATTATTATCAATATTCAAAACAGTTGTGCTGCTTCATTTTTTTATGTCAAAGTTTAGGTCAATTTCATGAGTTCTCAATGAATGAAAATAATAATGAATTTTTTTTTATTAAAAATGAACTGTATTTGTATTTTTAAGATCTCAACTTGACGGGCAGGGAGAGTTTCTGTTTGACTCCAGTTACAACACAGAACATAAAGTGGTTTAAAAAAAAAGTTTCATGTCGGGGCCAATGGCATAGTGGAAAGTGCACCAACACATGCACTCTTGTGTTCACGGTGACCTAAGTTTGATTCCTGCCTCGAGGTCCTAAGCCGATCGTTCCCCTCTTTGTGCTCCCCACACTTTCCTGTCAATTCTCTACTGTTCTGTCCAATAAAGGTAAAAAAAAATGTTTCATAAAAAGTTGTGAATATTAATGTTGTTTTTAATGTTTAATGTTTTTGATCTTCAGTTACGGGATCCTGTTGTGGTCCATTATCACTGGGAAGGAGCCGTACAGCGGTGAGAGTTATTAAACTACACATTTATTCCCATCAATTCCATATTCACTAATTCTATTTACATTGCACTTCTGCTGAAAGCTGGTTTCTGATTGGCTGATGATCACTCTAAGCTGTTTGGTTATTGTCAGATAAAGGCACAGCTAAAGTAGTTCCGGCAGGTTTACAGTGCATTACAGCTCCATTATTATGCTTGAGCTCTCAATAGGCTGTGTAGCGCTATCATTGTGATTTAAATGGTTTACAAGCATTCAATTAGTCGACTAATTGCTTAATATGAATGGCTGTTAATTGACATGGAAAACATTTAGTTTTGGCAGCCCTGTAGATCCAATAAAAATACTGTGGTAATTTATAGTAAATTCTGTAGTTTTTCTGAACGGTACTATCGTAGAGTACATGAATCAGTTTGTTGCAGCTATTCTTTAGTCGCTATGGTAACACAACAACTGCAGTGATTGATCGGTTGTGGTGATTCTACAGTTGCTAGGGTAACAAAAACTACAGTAATCAATATGTTGTGGTGATTCTACAGTTGCTATGGTAACACAAGAACTACAGTAATTGATCTGTTGTGGTGATTCTGAAATTGCTATAGTAACACAACTACAGTAATTAATCTGTTGTGGTGATTCTATAGTTGCTATGGTAACAACAACTACAGTAATTAATCTGTTGTGGTGATTCTACAGTTGTTATGGTAACTCTACAGTAATTGATCTGTTGTGGTGATTCTATAGTTGCTATGGTAACAACAACTACAGTAATTGATCTGTTGTGATTCTACAGTTGCTATGGTAACACAACTACAGTAATTGATCTGTTGTGGTGATTCTACAGTTGCTATGGTAACACAACTACAGTAATTGATCTGTTGTGATTCTATAGTTGCTATGGTAACACAACAACTAGAGTAATTGATCTGTTGTGGTGATTCTACAGTTGCTATGGTAACACAATAACTACAGTAATTGATCTGTTGTGATTCCATAGTTGCTATGGTAACACAACAATTAGAGTAATTGATGTTGTGGTGATTCTACAGTTGCTATGGTAACACAACAACTATAATAAAATTAAAGTGTACTACAGTATTTCAGTTGGTTATGGTTAATACTACAGTATGCTTGAACATTCATTAACACAGTTGTACATGTGTAAATATACAGTATGATACATTATACACTGTTGCAGGTGTTCAGTCCAGTCTGGTGCGCTTTCGGATCCCTCTAGGAGACCGCCCTGATCTGGCATCAGTGGACTGCAGCGAGACCGAAGGACTGGATGAGCTGCTGAAGCTGATGATGCAGTGCTGGGATCAGGAGCCCCACAGGAGACCCTCTTTCCTAGGTGAAACCAGAGCACATCAACCACCTGTAGAAACGCTCCTCTCTCCATGTGCACCACACACTTTTCTCAAACCCCATCTTATAAGGACTCAATAAGGCAGGGGTATCAAACTCAGATCCTGGAGGGTGGCAGCCCTGCACAGTTTAGTGCCAACCCTGCATCGACACACTCACCTGTAGGATTCAAACAAGCCTGACAGACCCCATTAGTTTGATCAGGTGTGTTCAGTTAGGGTTGGAACTAAACTGTGCAGTGCTGCGGCCCCCTAGGAGCTGACTTTGACACCTGTGCTATAAGGAAAGCATTGTTTACTCATGAATGTACCACAAAACAAATTGCACTACTTAATTTTCTACTATAAAGGTCCTATGAAATCAAAATAAAGCTTTTTAGATATTACTATCTGTATGTTAGTGGATGTCTATAATCTAGTGTGCTCCAAAACAGTGACAACATTCTGATATAAACATGTAAAGCTTGCAGTTGGTCTCTTCCACCTAAATTGATCTAGAATTTTTTGTTGTCGCCTCATACGCCTCAATCTTGACCAATCATATGCTCTCTAGTATCTGACATGCCCCACCCTCTTCTACTCATTGGCTGTTCATTTGATGTACTTGAGCTTGACCACTCTCATTGGCAGAGCTGTGAGAAAAACGACATGTTATTAGCTGCTTTTTAAAAAGGGGGAGGAGCTACATTATGTCCCGCCCACTCTTCATGTTTCAGTTGAGATTGTCTCAAACATCTAATAAAAATGCACATTTCAAAGCACTTCACAGGAGCTTTAAATGCCTCTTTGCACAATATTCTGCATTTGCTTTTCATAAAAAGTACTTGTATAGTAAGAAGTCTAATGCTGCGTTCACACCAGACGCGGAACGCGCGTTAATCGCGAGTGATTTACATGTTAAGTCAATGCAAACGCGCGAATAGACATCCTGCGGCGTGATACACGCAAATGGCGTTGAGCGATTGACGCGAAATGCGCGAATGGCGCGGTGTGAAAAGCGCGATACACGCGAGGCGAATTGAGCGTTTGTGCGCACAAACGCTCAGTTCGCCTTGCGCGTATCACGCTATTCGCACCGCGCAATCTCTCGAGTTCGAAAATCTGAACTTCAGCGGACATTCTCACCGCGTTAACCAATCAGGAGCTTGCTCTTGTGGGGGCATGATTGTGACGTAGAACCTGTTGATGGTGTCCCGGGGCAAATCCTCCAGGCGACACCGACAACAGTTCATCAAACTGGGCTGGGCTCAGTCAGAAGCACCGCTGAAAGCCTCCATAATCCAGGTTCAGTTTCTGGAGGAGTTTATGAGCTCACAGAGCTGCTGCACCTCTGAAAGGATGCAGTGGACTCATACAGGACCCTAAACGTATCGACGCTGTTTTTCAGTCTCCATAAAGCACATAAACACTGTTATTTTCTTAATAAAAGCCATGTTAGCCATTTAGCGATGAAGCTAGAGTCACCGGGCAGACAGAAGCCCCGCCCATCACGCGAATACGCGTCTGTTCTGAAGTGAATTTGACACACGATTGAAGCGGATTTGACGGGCGAATGAAGCGAGTAACCTAAAATGTTCACTCAGCAATTTACGCACGAATAGCGCGATTTATCCGCGCGTTCCGCGTCTGGTGTGAACACAGCATTAGGTAATGTGTGTCGTTAAGTAGTTAGTTAGTAATTATTATGTTTAGTTATGCATAGTTTTAAAATAGCTCTAATGGTTAGTTTTTCGTGTATACAGTTGGAAGCAGACGTTTACAGACACTCTAAAAAAGGGACATATCAAAAAGCTGCTATTATTGTATTGGAAAAATGTTAATCCTCCAACTGCCAAACTATGGCTTGAAGAATTGATATCTACTCTGCACCTGGAACGAACCAGATTTATTTTAAAAGGCAATATTGGACAATTTCAGAAAATTTGGGGCCCTTTCTTTTATTACTTCATGGGGAATTCTTCCCCCAAAAGCAATGTATTGTACCTAAAGGTTGTTTTGATTATCACTGTAGTGTATACTTACAGGCTGGGCTTGGGGTGTTTGGGTATTTTTTGTTTGTTTGTTTGTTTGTTTGTTTTGTTTTTGTAAATGTATGCATATCAGAAAACTAATCCTGTGATTATTGTAAGTTTATTCAACGACCAAATAAAAAACTTATTTGACAAAAAAAAGGGACATATCCATTTTTGATAAATGTCTGCTGGTAAACGATACTAAACGTTCACTATTTTAGATCCGTTAGGATTACCTGCATGATTTACATTTGCTAAATGCCAGAATAATCAGATCATTTTTTTGTTTGAGAATTACTCGACAGTCAAAAGTTTACACACATTTCCTTGGTATTTTTTTAGCTTTGCTTTTAAACTGTATAACTTTGATCAAGTGTTTTGCGTCTCCTCCCACAAGCTTCTCACAATAGCTTGCAGGAGTTTTGGCCCATTCCTCCTGACAGAATTGCTGTAACTGAGTCAGTCTTTCTCGCACAAGCTTCTTTAACTCTGCCCACAAATGTTCTATAGGATTGAGATCAGGGCTTTGTGATGGCCACTCCAACACATTCACTCTGTTCTCCTTAAAGCACATGTGAACTAATTTGGCAGTATGCTTAGGGTCATGGTCTGTTTAGAAGAGCCATTTGTGGCCCAGTTGTAATGTCCTGGCTGATGTGTTGAGATGTTGAGATCTTCAGTATTTCTCCATCATGTTCTGTCTTCATGATGCCATCTATGCTGTGAAGTGGACCAGTCCCTCCTGCAGCAAAACAGCCCCACAACATGATGCTGCCGCCCCCATACTGCACAGTTGGGATGGTGTTCTAGGCTTGTGCGCTTTCCCCTTTGTCCTCCAGATGTAAAACTGCTCATTATGGCCAAACAGTTCAATCTCAGCTCCATCAGAGCACAGGACATGTCTCCACACATGAGTCTTACTCCCAGTGTCATTCAGCTAATGGTAATCTGGCTTTGTTGTTGATTCTGGCTTGTTGATTCTCCATGTTGTCACACAGGGAAGCAGTGTGTTTGAGCTTTTCCTATTCTACAGTTGTGCCTCACATTCACTCAAATGTTGTCAATCAGCCAATCAGAAACTTCCAAAACCCTGACATCATCATCTGAGCTTTTCCAGAGGCAGAATAATCTGATTGTGTGTAAACTTGACTTTCAAGAAGAGTTAGAACAATTTCTCATTAATCTCTCTCTCATTATTCTGCTATTAAGCAGACCAGACACACATCTGACCATCCTAACTTACCTAAAAGAGAAACAGTTTAGTCACATTAACATCTGACTTTTTTTAATGGTGATGTGCCTTTTTATACAATGTATGAATACTTCTGCTTTCAACTGTATTCATGATTATGTTTATTTAAGTAGCTTCGCTCCACACATGCATTGCAGTAATAATAAAGCTTAACTTGTCCTAAAGACCAGCATGTTTGGTGTGCATCTGAGCGTCTGCTCTTGTGTTTTCAGACTGTGTTCACGCCATCACTGCGATCTACACGATGCACGCGCGCAGACTGAATGATGACGTTCATGACGTTCTGGAGCAGCTGGTACATTCTTAGCATCATCCTTCATGACAAAAATGACATTTTCGGGTGAACTAACCCTTTAATGAAATAAGGCACGACAAGTTTGTTTATAAGGCACTTTTTATGGTGGTTCGAAGTGCTTTACATGTACAAGAATCAAAGATACAAAAAGGATAAGAAATAAAAATAACAAAGAATGCATGTGATTAAAGGGCCATGAAACCCCCTCGTTTCAGCAGGGTGTTTTCACACCTCTACTTTGGAGAAAGTCAGAAAAGTGGGCGTGTCCAGCTCTGTTTAGGGGGGAGTGTCGGAGGAACTAAAGTGGGATGGTGTGGGAGTGTCTATTTGGGCACGCGCGAGTTTCAGAGTCAAAATACACACACACACACACACACACACACACACACACACACACACACACACACACACACACACACACACACACACACACACACGGGAGAAAGTGATGGTGTTTACATGGACATCTGTAGTGGAATTATTTGCCAAATTATTAAATGTTGGACTTTAACTGCAGTTTGGCTCTTTCATTCAGGGAATTCATTCATGTCCCTCGCGACAAACGAGATATTTGATTCGAGGAACTGCTCTAAGCGTGTATTTTTCATGCAATGTTTGATACCGCACGGCGAATGAGTGAAAAAAACCCTCCGCATTTCCCAGAAACTTAGATGCACACGGCAGGTAGCGTCAGAAAGCCGCGTGTGTTATTCCGGTCACAAAATGCGGTGAAAATCCTACACGAGGTTAAAGTTTGGTTGTGGTGCTAACATGTTTACACTCGGTGCAATAGTTAACTTAGTTCGATACGAACAAACTGAATAAACAAAGAGCACTGGTCGCTCACTTACCAAATCTGTAGAGACAGAACAATCACCAGCAACTAGAGCCGCGTCTTTATTAAGAGGAGACGACAAGCGAATCCGGATCTCAGCGTTTGCAGATGAGAACAGCTCTCAGGTAAACAATAATCCTCCTTAGACACGTAAGTTATTGTTGTCGAGCGTCGCGTACACTGTTAATCCACACGTGATCCAGATAAGCTCTCACAGAGAGAAAATGAAAACAAAACTTCACTGCAGCAAACTATAAAAGCAACACTTCACGCTTGTTTTGCCAACACAACGTGGCGTCTCTGTCAGTGTAAACACTGTGACAGTAATGAATATTAATGAAGTTGCACAATAGAGCGTGCTGATTGGTTTGAACCAAGCTTTACTCATGCATTAATGCAGCACACTGTAAGACGTAATAAGACTCACTCTGGCACAGACGTCCAGTCTGCACGCTGGAATACACGCTATTATGTCATGACCGTGACGCAGCTTCAAAAATTAGTTTCCAACCGGAAGTACGAATTTGCTTAAAATAACGCAAAAACAAGCAATTTACACTTTTTAGTGAAATATAAGTGTCCTAATAGTGTTTTTAGCAGTGTGGGACACACATATACGACATGATATATGTCAACAGCTCAACACATGTGTTCTGGTGTTTCGTGACCCTTTAAAAGCAGATTAATATGTGTTAAAACAGGCTTCAATGAAATGAAAACCCATTGAAATTAATTAATGTTTTGATTTAGTAGCAGTGCTTTGTGCAATGAGTTACAAACATGCACACACACACACACACACACACACACACACACACACACACACATACGGTGCATCCAGAAAGTCATCATAGCACTTTACTTTTCCAAATTGGATTAAATTGATTGATGTCCTCAACATTGTTTATTCTCTATTCATGTTTTGCTGTGTGTCTTCTCATTAGCAGGATGATGAAATCTGCTCCAGTCTGAGATCAGTCCAGATCAGCCGAAAACCACACAGAGGTTTGTTCAAGACAAGATTCATTTCTGCTGTTTAACTCTTGTAGCACTAAGCATCATAGGAATCTTGTCCTTTAGCCTTGTGTGCTGTTCAGATTGACTCCCCTTTGGTGATGTTGGTGCTGTTTTTGCCCCATTGACCTCCACTATAATCACATGTATTGATTGTAAAGCCATGACAGCAGATAATCAGGCATTCTTGACTGCTGCTGGTTTAATCTATTGCGATTAAGAGGTGAAATGGGTCATTAATATATATATATATATATATATATATATATATATATATATATATATTTTTTTTTTACTTTTTAACCACTTAAACTCTGCGGACCCGGTACCGGGTCTGTGACGTCATCGACTTTCGCTTTCAGATTTAAAGGGCTAGCATTGCACCAGACCCCCGTAAGTGGGGTCGTTTGAAAGTGTAGAATCTATATTTTATGCACATATGCATCACTTTGGTTTTTATTCTACTGTATGAAAGTTATTTACACTTAAATACACAATATTTTGGAACCGGAGCTGGTTATTTTACATTGGTTCATTTTCATAATTTTCATATGACACATGTACAAGTTATAGCTCAAATGAAAGCTCTTGCCGGTGCTCATACGGTTCTAGCGTTCTTTTTACTGAATTATATTCATATTTCAAACAGTTGTCGAATGAATCACGATGTTTCCATGGCGCAGAAATGTAAACAATACATTTATGATCAATAAGCAGCCCCAGATAGCACAGACAGCTGTCATCTCTTACCTTATGCTGTGCGCTTCAGGGCCATTCTCCTCTGTTTTTGAGCTGATGTGCATAAGTAATCCTTTTATATGTCTGACGTGGTCCAAACACAGTGAATTATGTTTGATCAAACAAAAGAATAGTGAAATATGAAAACAATGATCAGTCTCTGTGGCTTGTACAGCACCTCTCATCAGTTGGAATGCAATAACTTTTGCATAGATTATGGTGGAGACCTTTTTCTATTTTCCTATGATTACAGACATGTGCAGGAATCTCCAAAATTAATTACAGCACGCTAGACCACACACAACCTAAAAGGCACACTTTCAAATTTGAGTTAATAAAAAAAATATATACAAAAAGCGCCTCTTTATTTAGGTGTTTATTATAATACAGACAACATATACAGATATTTTAAACACTTTCAATAGTGTTTTATGAAAATTAAAAGGGTTTTCTTTAAAATGATACCAAATTTTTGCATTTACACCTCTGCATGTGGATTTGGGAAGCTTTTAAATATAGGTGTGTTTTGAGAATAAACCAATTAGAGTCTCATCTCCCATTCCCTTTAAGACCCAGCTGCGTCGCACCATAAGCGCATTCGCTATTTACAGGACGCAAAGTAAGTCTAAGTGGAAAAACTGAGCATTTCACAAACAAACAGTGAACAGTTTTTTAACAGAACACAGTTAAACAGAGCATCTACTGCATGAGAATGAGAGATAATGGATCTACTTTCACTTTCGCTCTTGGATAGCGAAACCTTTACACACAGACATCAATTAGCCTATAAATAATTAATTTTGTTTGTTAAGCGCAAATATTCGTTTCAAAACTATTTCTAAATTCAGTTCTAATTTCCAGCAAACGAATAAATGAACAATAATAATGACCAAGTGTGCTCAAAAACCTGAGTTATATCCTAAAACACATGCTGTGCCCCATATGGTCTAAAACCTGACAGGTGGACAAATCTAAGCTTGTTTTTAATAAAACAAATATAAATATGGATATAATAAATAACACTGCTAATAATAATAACATTATACAAAAGCTAATTGTTATGAATGAACTGAAAAAGCCTCCCGAGATGAAGAAGACATAAAAGCAGTGATTTTTCATATTTATGTAGGCTAGAAAATAATATGTTTTGTAATATTTTAATCCTTTATATTTATATTCTATATCTATTCTTATTATATCCTATATATATCCTTAATATTTACATGTTTTCATATGTAAAGATATTTGCCTGTTGCTCTCTTGTGTGTATTAAGCAGTGTGTAAGCGAGGTGCAACTCTGCGCTGGAGTTTAGACCGGGTTAGTTTTGGTCTAATGAAAAATCTATTATAGATACTCAAAATAGCAACGCGCCAGCGGTCCGCCTCAGAACACCTTCCTTTTTAGAGCAGAACGCCTATGGGCACACATATGAGCGCTAATGCATTTGCTATTAAACAGCGTAGCGCAACGCCTCAAAACCACTCTTGCGCCAAGCTGAAACTACCAAACAAGTATTGCGCCATGCCTTGCGCCACACTGCGCCAGGTGTATGATAGGGCCCCTAAAGTCTTTATTTGTTTTCCTATACAGCTTTTCTTCAACAAACTTGCTTTAAAACATTGATGTTTAAATACTTGATAAAGTCCATACCAAAACAACAGGATTCCATCATCTATATTGCAAGCCACTCTGTTGTACGGTCAAAACTGTGTGCTTCCTACCAACGCATTTCCTTCCTCAATGCAGGGATGCCACAGTTATACAGTATCGCACTGCATCTCTTGGCCAAATGCCATTTTACAATGTAAAACACCAACAGATCATCATTAAGTGAAGTTTATTTATAAACAAATCTCGAGAGGATCACGTGCTTATGATTGTTCACAGCTGTTCCAACTTTAGCTAATGACTGATTATCCTATCAGACGATCCTTAACTCACTATAAATAACCAGACTTTTCTCATCTCAATATCTTCGTCTTGAAGAAACCCCCCCACCCCCCCACCCAACCTTACTTTCCCTCCTTTCAAACGGGCGTCACGGCGGCCAGCGATTAGCGCTGTTTCCTCACAGCAAGAATGCCCCTGGTTTAATTCCTTTCCAAACCAGACGGCATTTCTGTGCAGAGTTTGCTCGTTCTCCCCGTGGTCGCGTGGGTTTTCCCCGGGTCCTCCGGTTTCCTCCCACAGTTCAAAAACAAGCACTCTAAACAATTAATCCAAATACTTTAGGTAAACTCTGAGTACACCTTTCAGCATCCATATCTGACACTTAGCTACAACAAGCAAGAAGGGGAGTCATCGAGATCTACCTGAGCTCAAACTCCCCTCTCGCCTTGCAACGGGAGGGAGCCCAGGGCTCGAGGATCTTATAAGCTCAGGGCTCTCTCCCGGGACAGCACGCCAAACTAGCTTTACTATCAATCATCAGCTAAGTGTGAACTCTTGAAACTGCTTTTAGGGTATATTTTAGGTCGTCAGATGGTTTTATTTCACACCACATTCAACTATGATTAAAATCCTGCAGAAAGTAAATCACACACAGGCGTGTATTAATAAAGCCGTTTGTGTGTTTTCTAGAAGTGGATCCTCAGGATTTGTCCTGCGTCACAGGACCTGCTCCTCAGCAGGTATCTACTTTATAAATGTATGCATTTGCTTCTTGTGGTGTTAAATTTCCATATTTCTTTTAATAAACGAAACGCATTTTTAATCATCGTAATAAGTGTTACAAGCTGGACGTGGTTACTGGTCACTAAAGGTAAACAAAACAATATATAAACAGACTTTAGACAAAAAAAGAAGTCTAATTTAGATGCAATAAACCTATTGAATTAATGTAGAACTGCATGATTGTCTTATTATACACTCAACGGCCACTTTATTAGGTACACCTTACTAGAGCCCCTTTTGCCTTCAGATCTGCCTTAATCCTTAATGTCAGAGATTCAACAAGCTACTGGAAATATTCCTCAGAGATTTTGCTCCGTATTGTCATGATAGCATCACACAGTTGCTGCAGATTTGTCAGCTGCACATCCATGATGCCAATCTCCCGTTCCACCACATCCCAAAGCTGCTCTATTGGATTGAGCTCTGGTGACTGTGGAGGCCATTTGAGTACAGTGAACTCATCGTCATGTTCAAGAAACCAGTCTGAGATGATTGAGCTTTATGACATGCTGCGTTATCCTGCTGGAAGTAGCCATCAGAAGATGGAGACACTGTGCTCATAAAGGGATGGACATGGTCAGCAGCAATACTCAGGTAGGCTGTGGCGTTGATGCTCAATTGGTACTAATGGACCCAAAGAAAATCTCCCCACACCATTACACCACCACCACCAGCCTGAACCGCTGACACAAGGCAGGATGATCCATGCTTTCATGTTAAATTGTGAGCCGAGCATCCGAATGTGGCAGCAGAAATGGAGACTCATCAGAGCAGGCAACGTTTCTCCAATCTTCTATTGTCCAGTGGAACCAGTCTGGCCATTCTCCTCTGACCTCTGGCCTAATCAACGTGGCATTTGCACCCACAGAACTGCCGCTCACTGGATATTTCCTCTTATTCAGAGCAGTCTAGAGATGGATGATCCCAGTAGATCAGCAGTTTCAGAAATACTCAGCGCAGCCCGTCTGGCAGCAACAACCATGCCACGTCCAAAGTCACTTAAATCCCCTTTCTTCCCCATTCTGATGCTCGCTTTGAACTGCAGCAGATCGTCTTAACCATGTCGACATGCCTAAATGCAGTGAGCTGCTGCCATGTGATTGGCTGATTAGAATATGCGTTAACGAGCAGTTGGACAGGTGTACCTAATAAAGTGGCCGGTGAGTGTTCTGTATATGAATAGGTTTATAATAGATATTTCTCATGTGATTTATGTTTATTTGATTGTGTCTTATAAATTATTTGTGTTGTTGTATGTTTAACAAGGCAAAACAAACATGCAACTGATCTAACGAATGTGAAATTATTCATATTTCTTTGATTTTTGATCTTGTAGGAAACCGCTGCCGCTTACACAGAGACCGTACAGAAAGGTAAACTGAAATGCTTTGCGTATGTCAGTAGGTGATGATGAATTTGTGACATGTTGCTTTTGCTCCTACATTGTATTAGTTATTTAGAAAATAATAATAATATTATTGCTAATAATATTGAGCTTAAAATGGGATTAAAAAATTCTTCCTCCAGAATGTTATGGATTTACAGTGAACATGTTCTTGGTCTCTTAAACAGCACTGGGGAATATTTAAAGAGACAGTAATGTTTATCTGAATGCATTTGTTGTTGCTGTTGACAGAATGCAGTCCTCGTGCAGCTCCACCGGTGGGAGCTATCAGGAAAACACAGGTCTGAAATAACAAATAAACCTACAGAGGTATTCATATGATGTTTCTGAGTGTCTAACTCTCGCTCTGCTCTGTGTTTCCGCTTCTGCAGCGTCAGACGTCCAATCCAGGTCAGTGTTGTTTACATCAGACACCATTCACAGATCTTACAAGCAGATCTGTTCAGTGTGCATGAACTTTTTTGGAAAATTTAGATTTTATTAATATCGGTTTCTTTAAAAACCTTCAGTACAACATACAGCAATAAACTATACATATATATATATATATATATATATATATATATATATATATATATATATATATATATTTTACAAGCCTCAGACAGTGAAGTATGAGAGGCAGTAACTGTAAGAAAGATGCAAGACACACAGATTAGGATCTGCTGTGTTCTGGCGCTTTCTTTAATAGCTTTCCCTTCTTTTTTTTTCAAAATAAACAGCAAGTGCAAAACGTTTTGTCAATAACTATTAACAGTATTCCTTCACAGGTTATGCTTTCTGGACATTTCACATAACAGTATTACAATTTTTCATCCATGAAGTCAATAAACGTAATACCTTAACATTTTCTCTTTATACATTTTAAAGCAGCAATAAACATCTGTACACAATCCAACACATTCTGTGTCTTACCACCACCATATGCCTTCATTTCACACATACATTTATCTTAATGATACACTTATATATTTTAGACATGGTGAGGAGTTGTACAAAGAAAAATCAGCATGTCAGAGATGTATGGATGCAGTCCTCCAAGCTCATGATGGAGTCAGACACAATATTCATTCTGTCTCCACTGCAGCAGGACTTTATATTCTATACTGGACATTATTTCTGTTCAGTGATGAGACTTTAGTCTGAGCAGAGTCAGACCACACTGTCCTCATCAAGACATGATCATGAGCTCAAATCAGCAAAATCCAGAGGCCTTCACCTTTCATAGAGACACTTCTGACACCAAATCATCCACTAGAAGTCCAGATATTATTTAATGTTCCTAAAACTTGGATAGGCGACACGACTTTTGTCAGGTAGTGTACAAATAATATATATCATAGTCATACTTTTGAATTATCATTTAATTTTGACTTCTTAAAATTATAATTTACAATTTATTTTTAGTTTTTATTGCTTAATTTCAACATTTTAAGTCTAGATCCATTTTCTAAAGTCAATCTTTACTATTTATTTCATAAATTTACCCTTTTTAGTCAGAAGTTGGTCATAATTGTGTCTTTTTTATCTTGTAATTTTGTATTTAAGTCGGATTCTTTACTTTTCATCTCAATTTGCACTTCATCATATCCATGATATTCAATTTCATAATATTTAAGTTTCATTTTTTAAAGTCAAATCAACTTTATAACTTTTTATAGTCATAGTTTTGACATTTTTGATCTCATAATTCTGACATTTCATTTTAATTTAAACAAATGAAGTTGAACATTACTAAATTGACTTTGTTTGATTAAATTCAGCTCATTTACATTGTTTGCAACCACTCACCCTTAAGAAATGGCGTAAATCCAGTGCAGTGCTTTTTCAGTGTGCATGAAACAAAAAATAATGACGTTTTGAACTTTTGTTTAAGGTTAAACAATGCAAATCATGCTAAATCCACTAAAAGACAGAAAATATTACTTTACAAACTGTGTTGGACAAATGTTAGGACACTGTACAAACTGTGAACAAAAAATGATTGCAATAATTTCCTAATCTCATCAACTTATATTTATTTACTATAGAGAATAGATAACATATCACATGTTGAAAGTGAGAAACTTTTAATTTCAGGCCAAATGTTGGCTCATTTTGGATTTCAAGACAGCTGAACTTTCCAAAAAGGTTGGGACAGGTCGCAATGACCGGCTAGCAAAGTCAGATGTACATATTAGGAACACCTGGAGGACCAAATTTCCACTTATTAAGTCAATTTGGCATCATGATTGTGTATAAACAGAGCCTCTCAGAGTGGCAATAGCTGCGTCCCAAATCGCTTGTGCACTATTCTACGCCATTTTGTAGTATAAATAGTGTAAGTAGTGTGTTCTCACTGAAAACTCTAAGAATAATAAGTGCACTTTAATTACCCGGATGATGCACTCATTCAGTCGGTATAATGAGGTGTGTAATGATGGACACTTCACGCACTCAACAACCGCAGGTTTGCTTACGTAGCGGAAGGGGCGGAGCTATCGGACGCACATGTTGGATAACTTTATTTATTTCGGATGGTGAAAGCAAAATTCCCCTACGAGAGTGATTATAGCGCCTCCCGATGGTGAATGCGGTTATACTCACGGCAGGTATTATTAGATAACTTGGTCATTTATTTCACTGATTTGGCGACCGTCAAACGTCATCAGGGAAACGGTTTGAATTTCCGCTTAGTAAAAAAACATTTGTGTGCTATTTGGGACGACACTACATACATATACTATCCTGTTGAGTGTGTAAGTGCATAATTAGACAGTGCATGAGTGCATAGTGTATAGTGTGCCATTTGGGATGCAGCTAGTGTCTCTTAGAGGTCGAGATGGGCAGAGGATCACCAATATCCCCAATTCTGCGCCAAAAATAGTGAAGCAATATCAGAAAGGAGTTTCTCAGCAAAGAGTTGTAAGTTATGATCATCTACAGTGCATAATATCATCCAAAGATTTAGAGAATCTGAAACAATCTCTGTGCCTAAGGGTTAAGGCCAGAAAACCGTATTGGATGCCCGTGATCTTCGGGCCTTAAGACAGCACTGCATCGCAAACAGGAATGCTACTATAGTGGAAATCACAATATGGCCTCAGGATCACTTCCAGAAAACATTGGCTGTTTCTCAATTCCAAGAACGCAGAGAATGGACTTGTGTTCTTGTAGAGTGCGGTCTTGCCAGGTGTCCACTGAAAAACGAACTCAGGAGAACACGAGGGCAGAGGACGCATCCTTTGAGAAATGAGATGCTGCGTTCTTCCTGATGGTCATGTGATCTTCACGCGTTTAAATGGTAAATTATTTAAACATTACAGCCTTCATACAACGATTTATTGTTTTCCCCTCTTCAAAATATATACTTTGCATAAAAACATTATAAATATACTCTGCACAATATAAATCAAACTAAATTTAATAGGAATTTCAGCAAACAAACACCCTTAATGTGTTTATTCCTTTATTAAGATGTCCATGTTAATGTTTAGTTTCCCCGTTTCATTTAGGGAAACTCGTGACGTAAATAAGTTTAATCTCTGAACTTTAATAATAAATCTAGATAAAACACTGCGCTTCCCACCTCCAGTCGCAATGACTTCTGGGACTTCCAGAGCGAGTTCGGTGCTCAAGTCTGCATCGGTGCGTCCTCGATATCAAGAACACATCCGGGAAGTTTCAGGCGTCCTCCGTACTTGCGATCTTGAGTATTGGAACTGAACTTAGGCAGCTGATGATGAAGTTACACGAGGACGCAAGACGGCTGAAGAACGCATATTGAGAATCAGCCATTGTCAATCCACCGTGCCATTCGCCTTTCCGGCTAAAAGTCTATTGGTCAAAAAAGAAGTCAAATTAAACATGAAGCGCAGGCGTTTTCTCTGGGCCAAGGCTCATTTAAAATGGACTGTGTGTCTTTTTGGAAGACTGGGACGCCATGTCATCCGAACTAAAGAGGACAGGGACAACCCAAGTTGTTATCAGCGCTTAGTTCAGAAGCCTGCATCTCTGATGGTACAGGGTTGCATGAGTGCGTGTGGCATGGGCAGCTTACACATCTGCAAAGGCACCATCAATGCTGAAAGGTATATATAGAACAACATATGCTCCCATCCAGACGTCGTCTCTTTCATGGAAGACCTTGCATTTTCCAACATGACCATACTGCAGGGGTGTCCAAACTCAGTCCTGGAGGGCCGATGTCCTGCAGATTTTAGCTCCAACTTGCCTCAACACACCTGCAAGGATGATTCTACAAAGCCTAGTAAGAGCTTGATTAGCTATCCCAGGTGTGTCTGATTGGGGTTGGAACTACACTTTGCAGGACACCGGCCCTCCAGGACAGAGTGTGGACATGCCTGACATACTGCATCACTTACAACAGGGGTGTCAAACTCAATCCCTGGAGGGCCGAAGCCCTGCACAGTTTAGTTCCAACCCTGCTCCAACACACTTACCTGTAGGTTTCAAACAAGCCTGAAGGACTCGATTAGTTTGATCAGGTGTGTTTAATTAGGGTTGAAACTAAACTGTGCAGAGCTGCGGCCCTTTAGGAACTGAGTTTGACACCTGTGACTTACAACATCATGGATGCGTAGAAGAAGGATCCAGGTACTGAAATGGCCAGCCTGCAGTCCAGATCTTTCACCCACAGAAAACATGAAGAAAAGACAAAGAAGACAGTCGAGCACCTACAAGCCTGTATTAGACACATATGGGTGAACATTCCTATTCCCAAACTTGAGCAACTCGTCTCCTCAGTTCCCAGACGTTTGCAGACGGTTGTAAACAGAAGAGGGGATGCCTCACAGCGGGTAACATGCTCTCGTCCCAACTTTTTTGAAATGTGTTGATGCTGTAAATTACAAAAATCAATATATTTTCCCCTTAAAATTATACATTTTGGCAGTTTTAACATTTGGACATGTCATCTACTGTATGATCTATACCAGGGGTCACCAATCTCGGTTCTGGAGAGCCGGTGTCTCTGCAGGGTTTAGCTCCAACTTGCCTCAACACACCTGCCTGGATGATTCAAGTATACCTAGTAAGAGCTTGATTAGCTGGTTCAGGTGTGTTTGATTAGGGTTGGAGCTAAAATCTGCAGGACACCGGCCCTCCAGGAACAAGTTTGGTGACCACTGATCTATACTGAATAAAATATTGACATTCGGAGCGTCCACATCATTGCATTCAGATTTTATCCACAGTTTATACAGTGTCCCAACTTTTTTTGGAATCGGGTTTGTAAATAAATCATATAAATATCAATAATATCACTCAAACTAATCTAAAAAACTGAATAAAAATATATTTACACACATTTAACACACAACTATGACGTCTTCCTCTGCTGAGAGACCTGTAGATGTGAAAAGTGCCCATGGAGCATTACTTTAAAGTCATGGCAGACCATAGTTTTAGTGCTTACTTTGAGTCAGATGAGCAGCAGAAAGTGATCTGTCTGCTGTGTTTCTCTCTCTCAGCTGTGCAGGTCAGCATGTCCAATGTTTTCGGAGTTCAGATCGGAAATAATAACAGCATGAACATCACTCAGAAACCACGGCAGAGACACCGGACGGCTCCGTCTGCAGTCAACACGCACAGTTCCCACCCACAAAACCCTCCGCAAAAACACCAGTGACCACCACGCTGGGTTTCTACTGCTTACCGGCTGCTTTAGAGCTGATTTTTTTACTCCTAATGGGGCGGGAAAACATACACTTACCGGCCACTTTATTAGGTACACCTCTCCTACAGCTCGCTATTGCAAATGTCTAATCAGCCAATCACATGGCAGCAGCTCAATGCATTTCGGCATGTAGACATGGTCAAGACGATCTGCTGCAGTTCGAACCGTGCATCAGAATGGGGACGAACGGTGGTTAAGGTGAACGTGGCATGGTTGTTGCTGCCAGACGGGCTGCTCTGAGTATTTCAGAAGCTGCTGATCTACTGGGATTTTCACGCACAACCATCTCTAGATCAGGAGAATGGCCAGACTCCTTCCAGCTAATAGAAAGGTAACAGTAACTCACATGGACAAGAGCTTCTTAAATATACTCAAATGGCCTCCACAGTCACCAGAGCTCAATCCAATAGAGCAGCTTTGGGATGTGGTGGAACGGGAGATTGGCATCATGGATGTGCAGCCGACAAATCTGCAGCAACTGTGTGATGCTATCATGACAATATGGAGCAAAATCTCTGAGGAATATTTCCAGTAGCTTGCTGAATCTCTGACATCAAGGATTAAGGCAGATCTGAAGGCAAAAGGGGGCCAACCCGGCACTAGTGAGGTGTACCTAATAAAGTGGCCGCTGAGTGTATATAAGTATTAGGGAAATAAGTATTCCTAAAGTGCTGTTGACTTTAATTTGTCACTGGATGTCGGTAACAAATCTGTATATGCAACGAAATGATCATTTCTTCCCGAGCCTCCTCAGTGGATGTGCATCTAGCGTCTGGCATTGGGTTTGCAGCAAACAAATGCAATGGCGGACTCCAGACGCACATCCTGAGAAATGTTTGATGAGATTCCGGATTAAAGCTAATAATATTGTAAATTATGTTGAGTTTCTTACATGAACTGATGGTTCGGCTTCACAAGAGCTGTCATCAGGAGTCACGGCTATTGATTTGAACTGGTTTGTAAGTGTGTATTTTTACCCTGAAAGACTGGTCACCATTCACTGCCATTATATAAAGCACCATAGACCTCAGATTCAGCTCAAAAGCATGGGAGATTGGTGAAGATGAGATGCTTTATCAGCTTTGTTAAACAGTTTAATCAACTTGAACAATATATGTAATCATCGTACTTGCTTTATTTAAGTGTTATCTTATGTAATAAATGCATAAAGGCAGTTTATATGTAGAAACTCATAATTTGGGCTATATTTTTGTCACTGTATGTTAAATGCTTCAGCTATAACTTGATGAATTGTGAAGTTTCTTGCGATAGCATGTATCCTCGCTAAACGAGTTAGCCGACTGTGATGCAATGTCTCGTTGCACTGAATTTTTTATTACTACTTTTATGTGTGATTTATTTTAGCGGTTCATTCCGCTGTGGCGACCCCGGATTAATAAAGGGACTAAGCCAACAAGAAAATGAATGAATGAATGATTAATTTTACTGTGGTGTCATTATGATGGTATTAAGAGGTGGATTAATTCAGGTCAAAATTATGAGATAAAGCTATGAAATGATTTGCTCAAATTTCTCACTAAGATTTCCAATTATCTTGAGATTTAGCATTTTACTGTCATAATAAACCATTTTCACATTCCGACTTTTTCAAGTTAGATTTTTTGTTTTTAATCATAATTTTGAAAAATTTAAGTCATATTTTTGACTTTTTAAATCTTAATTAAATTCAACTTGGTATTCAACCCTGCTGAAAAACCCAGCTTAAACCAGCCTAGACTGGTTGGCTGGTTTTAGCTGGTCAACCAGGCTGGTTTTAGAGGGGTTTTGGCCACTTCCAGGCTGGTTTCCAGCCATTTCCAGCCTGGTCTTAGCTGGTCAGGCTGGAAAGTGACCAGCTTAAACCATTTAAAAGCAGCTTGACCAGCCTGGTTTAAGCTAGAATAGCGGGTTTTGGTTGGGCTCCCAGCCTGGTTTTAGCTGGTCAGGCTGGGAGATGGCCTAACCATCCTAGGCTGGTTTAAGCTGGATTTTTTTTAGCAGGGAAGCCATACGTGCAACTTTTTATTTTGTAATTTTGAACTTAGGTCAGATATTAGACTTGCCAAGTCATAGTTTGATTTAAAGTCATGTCGACTTTTTTGAGGCACATTTTGACTTTTTTTAATTATAATTCTGACATTTAAAACTCATAGTTCAGAATATTTGTATTTTCGACTTTTTTAAGTACGAAGGTGCGTTCGGGTTCATGCATCGCAGCACAGGCCAATCGAAATCTGCCTTACAGTGGTGCATGCTGGTTGGAAATGTTGTCCGGATTGATGCTGCGTCGACGCCACGTGACCCTGCTGAAAAATCCAGCTTAAACCAGCCTAGGCTGGTTGGCTGGTTTTAGCTGATCGACCAGGCTGGTTTTAGAGGGGTTTTGGTCATTTCCAGGCTGGTTTCCAGCTATTTCCAGCCTGGTACTAGCTTGTCAGGCTGAAAAATGACCAGCTAAATCCGGCTAAAACCAGCTTGACCAGACTGGTTTAAGCTGGACATAGCTGGTTTTGGCTGGGCTCCCAGTTTGGCTAGGCTGGTCAAGCTGGTTTTAGCTGGTCATCTCCCAGCCTGACCAGCTAAGACCAGGCTGGAAATGGCCAAAACCCCTCTAAAACCAGTCTGGTCGACCAGCTAAAATTGGTTTAAGCAGTTTTTTTCAGTAGGGGACGGTCACATGTAGCATCAAAGTACTGCGACAGCGCTCCGAGATCAGACGACTGATTCTGCCGGAGCAACATCTAAAGAGTGACTGCAGGACCTGCGATGACGACACTGATATTACACGATTGGCTGAGTTCACAGCATCACAACCACGTCTGTTTCAGGTTTATTATTACACAAATTCCGTCTCACAAATTTCAAAACAATCAATTCACTTTTCAGACCCTCTCTATCCTGTATATTTATCATGCTTATAAGAAGACTACACATATTTTACAGCAGTATCATCTTTTGCTAAATAATCTGGTTATAAAGGCTAAAGTGCAGCTCACTTACTTAAGGAATGTCCTTTTGTTTAACGTTTTTTCCACACAACAGCGTTGTTGCAAATACTAAAGATGGCGCCAAATCGCCTTGGCTCCGCCCTCATGGATGGTGGCTCGTAGGGTGAGAACGCCATGTTGTCCACATGTGACTGAGAAGGTAAGGTTAATTTTGTGGTGTGTTTTTCTTGTGCAATTAAAGGTGCAGTAGGTGACCTTCCACAATGCTAACAGCTTAGCATAAATCTCTGAATCACAGTCCCTCCCCTGCAGTCTACAGCCACGCCTCCTTAAACACGAGCACAGCTAAAGATAAAAGATAATAAATGCTAAAACACAGTTCATGGTGTTGCTATTGTCTAAAAACTATCATATGAAAAAGTTTATACTTATCTGATGCTTTAGTTTCTTTAAAAAGGGATCTGATCATGTTCCCTGTACTGCATTGCTCCCGCAGCTCTGCTAATCCGCAGTGATGTTGAGTGTGGTTGGGTCTGCGGGGTCCTGGCGTCCGGTGGTACGTCTCATCATCTCCCCATCTGTTCCTCTTCAGCAGCATGTGTTCATTGCTCCTTCTCACACACTGATCTGGACAAAACACTCCGAGACGGGTGGGTAAATAACACAGTAATACAGAAACCCATGGTAGCGCCTGTATATATGTGTGTGTGTGTATTCTTGAATCATATAGTAACAACTATTGTATATATTATAGCAACTACAAATGTGTTAATGAGCATTGACTGTAGTATTAACTGTTGATAAACTAATAATGACTGTAGTATTTTAGTTTTTACTACAGTGAGCTGTGGATTATTGTAGTTTAATATACCCAGTAGTGGATCATTTGGTTATATCACTATTGTAGATGCATTGATGTACTGATATTATACTTGTTTTCCTCTCTGAAAGTCATGCACTGTTGTTCCCTTCACGTTCTGCACATGTTTTCTGATGCACATGTCTGATTGGAGCGTGTTCTGGTAAACTCTGTGCGTGATGTCCAGTGTGTGCCGCCAGGAAGGGCGCGTGACTGCGACCTGCTGAAGTGCACTCTTCCAGAACAGCAGATGGAGGATAATGATGATAAATAGACTCTGCAGATATTTGTGTCCGTTTACTCTCTGACCCGCACGGCTGAATAAAGCAGGACCACTACTAGCCAATAATAGAGTAAAACCACTGAGATAACCGGACGCATCACTTCCTCCAGGTCACTCATCACAGGATATTAAGAAATGCCCTGTGTAAAAGACGGCAGGTGGAAAATAGCAGCTTTTGCTAAAGCCTGACACCAGACATATTTAAGCTCATGTACTGTGTTGCTGTGCATGTCGTGGTTCTTATTTCTAAATATTATAAAAGATGTGCACCCCCAACCTCCCGCCCCCCGCAAAATCTCCACTTTTGGTCACTTGGAATGACATAGGGTGGAGCTATCCTTCCTTTAGGGCAGGGCTACCAGTCTATTAAGGCAGGGCTATCAGTCATTTAGGGTGGAGCTATCAATCCTTTAGGGTGGAGCTAAATTTCAGTTCTTTAGGGAGGAGCTATTAGTCCTTTAGGGTGGAGCTAACATTCCTTTAGGGTGGAGCTTACAGTCCTTTAGGGTGGAGCTATCAGTCCTTTAGGGTGGAGCTTACAGTACTTTAGGGTGGAGCTATCAGTCCTTTAGGGTGGAGCTTACAGTACTTTAGGGTGGAGCTATCAGTCTTTTAGGGCAGAGCTATTAGTCCTGTTGGGCGGAACTGTCACTCCTTTAGGGTGGAGCTATCAGTGGAACTGTCAGTCTTTTGGTGTTGACCTACCAGTCCTTTAGGGTGGGGTTATCAGTCTTTAGGGCGGAGCTGTTAGTCCTTTTGGGCGGGGTTATCAGTCTTTAGGGTGAAGCTGTTAGTCCTTTAGGGTGGAGCTATCAGTAATTTAGGGTGGAAATTTCAGTTCTTTAGGGAGGAGCTGTCAGTACTTTAGGGCAGAGCTATTAGTCCTTTAGGGTGGAGCTATCAGTCCTTTAGGGTGGAGCTATCAGTCCTTTAGGGTGGAGCTATCAGTCTTTTAGGGTGGAGCTATTAGTCCTGATGGGCGAAACTGTCACTCCTTTAGGGTGGGGCTATCAGTCTTTTAGGGAGGAGCTGTCAGCCATTTAAGGAGGAGCTATCAGTCCTTTAGGGCGGCGCTATCAGTCTTTTAGGGCGGAGCCATCAGTCATTTTTGCTGGGACTATCTGTCCTTTAGCGCGGAGCTATCAGTCCTTTAGCGCGGAGCTATCAGTCATTTTGGGTGGAGCTATTAGTCCTTTAAGGCAGGCCTATAAGTCCTTTAGGGTGGGACTATAAGCCATTTAGGGAGGAGCTGTCAGTCATTTAGGGCGAAGCTATCAATTCTTTAGGGTGGAGCTATCAGTCCTTTAGGGTGGAGCTATTAGTCCTGTTGGGCGGAACTGTCACTCTTTTAGGGTGGGGCTGACAGTCCTTTAGGGTGGAGCTATCAGTATTTTAAGGTAGCGCTATCAGTCATTTTTGTTGGGGCTGTCAGTCCTTTAGGGCGGAGCTATTAGTCCTGTAGGGCGGAACGGTCACTCTTTTAGGGCGGGGCTTTCAGTCCTTTAGGGTGGAGCTAACAGTCCTTTAAGGCAAATCTATCAGCCATTTAGGGCAGAGCTGTCAATCCTTAAGGGTGGAGCTATTTGTACTTTTGGGGCGGGGCTGTCATTCATTTAGGGCAGGGCTTCAGGGTTTCTGCTCAGAATTTATCCATTTGTCAGTCTTTCTTCATATTGTTCGCATTACCCATCTTTCAACAATCCAGTTGGTTCCCGAAGAACAAAATCATGCACCGCCCTACTTTTTTTCTCATTTCAAGACAAATAAGAACAATCTTAACTTCTGTTTTAGGGTGACTTAAAGCTCCAGACGGTGAAACCCTGCATTAAAAGTCCCCATGAAATCAAGATAAAGTTTTTAAATGTTTGTATTAGTATTTTGGTTTTAAGGATATTAGCTCAAAAAGTGTGCAGTATGCCGTGTATGTTTTCCTTCCAGTAGTCTGACAGAAAATATGCTATAGGAGCCAAATAAAGCAATATTGTTTTAAGGATGTATGTCATATAGGGTGTAATCGGTATCTTGCCTGATAATTATGACCAATTGTTGACATAATGGCTGACATTAAATTATATATATTACACACAGTATATCTGTTTGATTAACAACAGAAGGACGCTTCAATCCAGAATATTTCATGCTTCACAACATAAACATTTTATTGTACAATTTAGCAAATTGTTGTCCAGTCCAACCTCTTGACCTTCTGAACTGAATTTAAAAATCACATTTATTGCTATTTCTGACACAATCCACTGCCCTGCTCTCTGTTTCATCGCAGTAAACATATTGTTAAAAACATGTGAATAAAACACATTATATGGCTGTTTGTAAAACCTGCTTAAATATCAATTTGTGTACATTTTAAAATAATTTAAAAGTTTTTTTAAGCTGAATTTTTATCTTTTTTGTGTTTTAAATAATTGTATGTTGTATTTTATTATAGTTATAATCAAGTCGAAAATTGCAACTCAGAAACCAGTTTCTGGTACAACCCGACACCCTGAGTTCTGATGATCACCATATTTTATATGTTTGTTTCACAGTATGATCATTTAAAACAACCATGTTTGTCTGTTATCAGTGAAAAGTGCTGTTTAACATGTGTCACTGCATTAACGAGCAGGTATGCATGCATCAAATAAAGACATGGAGAAGAATCCCAGTAGATTCCCTCACATAATCACCTGTGCTGAATAATTTTCTTGCTATCATTAGCCCCTTTCACACAGTAACATGCAGCACAGGCTCACTGGAAATATGTAACTCTGCCTACATTCTTGCAAAACATTACATACGCTTCTTAGGGGATGTTTTCTAGTAAGTTTCTAGTGTCAAATCCACTAGAGGGCGCTGTCTACATTTTTGCGAATCTAAAATACGTTACCTAAGTTATGTTTAGTTGTACGATTCAGATGCCAAATCCACTAGCCGGTGCTGTCTACATTCTGCGAATAAAAAAATACATTACTTAAGTTACATTTTGTTGTATGTTTCAGATGTTAAATCCACTAGAGGGTGCTGTTTACATTTTTGCGAATTTGAAATACGTTACTAAAGGTACATTTCATTGTACGTTAATATGACAAATTCATCAGAGGACGCTGTCTATGTCTTTGAATCTAAAAATATGTTACTTAAGTTACATTTTGTTGTACGTTTGATGTCAAGTCCACTATAGGGCGATGTCTCCTTTTTTATAAATCTGAAATATGTAACTTAGTTTGCATTTTGTTGTATGTTTAAAATGTCAAATCCACTAGATGGCGCTGTCAACATTTTGTAAATCTGAAATACGGTACTTAGGGTATGTTTTGTTGTAAGTTTTGGGTGTCAAATCCATTAGGCGGCAATGTGTACACTTTTGTAAGTCTGAAATACGTTATTTAGTTTGCCTTTTGTTGTACATTTCAAATATCAAATCCACTAGAGGGTGATATTTTTATTTTGTGAATCTAAAAATACGTTAATTAATTTACATTTTGTTGTAAATTTAAGATGTCCAATTGACTAGAGGGCGCTGTCTAAATTTTTGCTAATCTAAAATACAATAAATAAATTACGTTTTGTTGTACATTTACGATGACAAATCCACAAGAGGGCGCTGTCTACATTTGTGAATCTAAAAATACATTACTTAAGCTACGTTTTGTTGTTTACATTTTTAGTATCTGAAATACGGTACTTAAGGTACTTTTTGTTGTACGATTCAGATGCCAAATCCACTAGCCGGTACTGTCTACATTTTGCGAATTAAAAATACATTTCTTAAGTTACATTTTGTTGTATGTTTCAGATGTCAAATCCACTAGAGGGCGCTGTCTACGTTTTTTAATCTAAAAATATGTTACTTAAGTTACATTTTGTTGTACGTTTGATGTCAAGTCAACTATAGGGCGATGTCTCCTTTTTTATAAATCTGAAGTATGTAACTTAGTTTGCATTTTGTTGTATGTTTAAAATGTCAAATCCACTAGATGGCGCTGTCAACATTTTGTGAATCTGAAATACGGTACTTAGGGTATGTTTTGTTGTAAGTTTTGGGTGTCAAATCCATTGGGCGGCAATGTGTACACTTTTGTAAGTCTGAAATACGTTATTTAGTTTGCCTTTTGTTGTACATTTCAAATATCAAATCCACTAGAGGGTGATATTTTCATTTTGTGAATCTAAAAATACGATAATTAATTTACATTTTGTTGTAAATTTAAGATGTCCAATTGACTAGAGGGCGCTGTCTAAATTTTTGCTAATCTAAAATACAATAAATAAATACGTTTTGTTGTACATTTACGATGACAAATCTACAAGAGGGCGCTGTCTACATTTGTGAATCTAAAAATACATTACTTAAGTTACGTTTTGTTGTATACATTTTTAGTATCTGAAATACGGTACTTAAGGTACTTTTTGTTGTACGATTCAGATGCCAAATCCACTAGCCGGTACTGTCTACATTTTGCGAATTAAAAATACATTTCTTAAGTTACATTTTGTTGTATGTTTCAGATGTCAAATCCACTAGATGGCGCTGTCAACATTTTGTAAATCTGAAATACGGTACTTAGGGTATGTTTTGTTGTAAGTTTTGGGTGTCAAATCCATTAGGCGGCAATGTGTACACTTTTGTAAGTCTGAAATACGTTATTTAGTTTGCCTTTTGTTGTACATTTTAAATTTCAAATTCACTAGAGGGTGATATTTTCATTTTGTGAATCTAAAAATACGTTAATTAATTTACATTTTGTTGTAAATTTAAGATGTCCAATTGACTAGAGGGCGCTGTCTAAATTTTTGCTAATCTAAAATACAATAAATAAATACGTTTTTTTGTACATTTACGATGACAAATCCACAAGAGGGCGCTGTCTTCATTTGTGAATCTAAAAATACATTACTTAAGTTACGTTTTGTTGTTTACATTTTTAGTATCTGAAATACGGTACTTAAGGTACTTTTTGTTGTACGATTCAGATGCCAAATCCACTAGCCGGTGCTGTCTACATTTTGTGAATTAAAAATACATTTCTTAAGTTACATTTTGTTGTATGTTTCAGATGTCAAATCCACTAGAGGGCGCTGTCTACGTTTTTGAATCTAAAAATATGTTACTTTAAGTTACATTTTGTTGTACGTTTGATGTCAAGTCAACTATAGGGCGATGTCTCCTTTTTTATAAATCTGAAATATGTAACTTAGTTTGCATTTTGTTGTATGTTTAAAATGTCAAATCCACTAGATGGCGCTGTCAACATTTTGTGAATCTGAAATACGGTACTTAGGGTATGTTTTGTTGTAAGTTTTGGGTGTCAAATCCATTAGGCGGCAATGTGTACACTTTTGTAAGTCTTTAATACGTTATTTAGTTTGCCTTTTGTTGTACATTTCAAATATCAAATCCACTAGAAGGTGATATTTTTATTTTGTGAATCTAAAAATACTTTAATTAATTTACATTTTGTTGTACATTTAAGATGACAAATCCACAAGAGGGCGCTGTCTACATTTTGTGAATCTAAAAATACATTACTTAAGTTACGTTTTGTTGTTTACATTTTTAGTATCTGAAATACGGTACTTAGGGTATGTTTTGTTGTACGTTTCAGATGTCAAATCCACTAGAGGGCGTTCTTTACATTTTTGTAAATATAAAATACGTTATTTAGTTGAACTTTTTTTGTACATTTCAGATATCAAATCCACTAGAAGGCACTGTTTTTATTTCGCATATCTGAAATACGTTACTTTTGGTATGTATTGTTGTACGTTTCAGATGTCAAATCCACTAGAGGGCGATGTCTACATTTTTGTAAATATGAAATACGTTACTTAGTTTACATTTTGTTGTACGTTTAAGATGTCAAATCCACTAGAGGGAGCTGTCAACATTTGGCGAATCTGAAATACATTACTTAGGGTATGTTCTATCTACATTTTAGGAATCTAAAAATGTTACTTGAGTTACGTTTTGGTCTACGTTTCAGATGCCAAGTTCACTAGAGGGTGCTGTTTACATTTTGGGAATCTAAAAACATGTTACTTAAGTTACTTTTTGTTGTACGATTCAGATGCCAAATCAACCAGAAGGTGTTATCTACATTTTGTGAATCAAAAAATATGATACTTATGTACTTTTAAGATTAAAATCCACTAGCGGGTGCTGCCTACATTTTTGAGAATCTAAAATATACAACTTAAATTACGTTTTGTTGTACGTTTCAGATGCCTATTTTACAAGAGGGTGCTGTCTACATTTTGTGAATCTAAAACTATGTTACTTAAGTTAAATTTTGTTGTACGATTCAGATGCCAAATGTAAAAGAGGGCGTTGTTTACATTTTGTGAATAAAAAAAATAGATTCCTTAAAAATTTAGTTAAGTTACCAAACTACCTAAGTTACATTTTTGTTGCACAATTCAGATGCCAAATCCACTAAGAGGTGCTGTCTACATTTTGTGAATCAAAAATACATTACTTAAGTTACGTTTTGTTGTACGTTTAAGATGACAAATCCACTAGCGAGCGCTGTCTACATTTTTGCTAATCTAAAATACGTTACTCAGATTACGCTTTGTTGTACGATTCAGATGCCAAATCCATTAGAGGGCGCTGTCTACATTTTGTGAATCAAAAAATACATTACTTAAGTTACGTTTTGTTGTATGTTAAAGATGTCAAATCCACTAGAGGACGCTGTCAACATTTTGTGAATCTGAAATGCGTTACTTAGGGTATGCTTTGTTGTAAGTTTCGACTGTCAAATCCACAAGAGGGCGATGTTTACATTTTAAGAATCTGAGATATTTTAAGTTACGTTTTGTTGTATGTGTAATCCACAACAAATCCACTAGTAGGAGCTGTCTACATTTTGTAAAATTAAAACGCTTGACAAGGTTCTGATTTGTAGTACGTTTTTGAACCATACTATAGTAAAGTGTATTATACTGTAAATATTGTAATATTTAAAACTCTTTGTTGATAAATACTTCAGCTTACTGTACTATTGCCTTTAGTGAAATGTTAAACTGTGTACTGTTGTACAAAACTGTTTGCATTATTGTGTATTCAGATTTAATTGATGTAGTTGTTGTGTTACCATAGCAACTACAGAAAGTACTTTACTATTACTGTATGCTTCAAAAACACTATTGACCTTATTCATAACGTATGAGCGGACGCAGACGCTGGAATCTTTTTGGCTGGAGTCTTCCACTCCCATTCACTTCCATTGATTTTAGACGTTAAAACAGCTGGATCTGCTGCTTAATGATGGAAACTGATATTGTCGTATTATAGTATTCTGCTTTTTATATATAGTCGTGGACACATTTGCTTGTAGAACCAGACCGTTTTCTGCCTTTCGTTATTCCTAGTCATTTCTCCCATGGGAAACTGAGTGGGAAGTTCTAAAACAATTGCATGAACGAGCTTTAACCTCCGCATGGCAGAATAAGGTCAGTAGGCTTTACTATAAGTTACTATAGTCGTTTTGATGTGTGATGTCCTGAAGAGTCTGCATGTGTGAAAGAGGCATTTCTGCTGTCTCCTATAAGGGGAAGACGAGGAAGCCGGAGAAGGTGGAGTATTTCCATCCGCCCATCAGGTTTCCTCGCTCCAGCTTCAGGTTGGCTTTGTCTCCGCGCTCCATCAGCACCAGACCGGCGTTCGTCGCTGCTTCTCGAGTCACGTCCTGATCGCCGGCGAACGCAGAGATCACCGGCCAGCCGTTCAACACCAGACTCACCTGCACACACACACACAGGTAAGGGCTCGTTCACACCAAACACATCTTTGCTTTTAAAAACACAAGACGCTGTATTCTGGAAGAGGTTTAAAATAAAGAGGTTCACGTCAAGCGGTATTCTGATGTTATAAAAACAACACATAAGAAATAGGCAAACTATGTTGTGATGAGCATGGACACATCATATAACTCATGATATCTAAAAGAAGCCACGATAAGAGCCTCCTCCACCACGGTATAACGGTAAATAAAACAGTTGTCATGCCAACTTTCAACTATAAACAGAAACTTGCAACGGTTGTCCCGCCTCCAAACTCTTCTGACTGGTCCACTGCTGTGGGACTGCCAATGATGCAATCTTTAAACCTGGCAAATCCACTAGAGGGCGCTGTCTACATTTTATTTTGCATATCTAATGTTACTTATGGTATATGCTGAACATTTCAGATGATAAATCCACTAGAGGGCGCTGTCTACATTTTGTGAATTTGAAATACGTTACTTGCATGTTTGTGTTTTGTTGTACATTTCAGATGA